CGCACCTCGCTCAACGTAAGTGACCCCCATTGTCCCCTCCCCTCGTCCCCTCCCGTCCCTGAGGGAGCCCGTCCTGCGCTGCCGGGCCGGGGCCTGCTGGCGGGCCGGGAGGGAGGGTGTTTGGTTTATTTACTTCTTTGATTTGGTGGGAGGGGTTTTGTAATTAGGAAATTGTCGCTCAGCTGTAAAGGTTTGAGGAGTGAAGCGACTGGTAACGGCAGTTACCTGAAGTTCCCCCAGTGTTTCCGTGAGAGAAATGGAGGGTTTGTTTGTGTGTGTGGTGGGTTTTTTTTAATATTAAAATACTGCCCCTACCGGTCAGAAGGTCTTATTCTGAAAGTGTCGGAGCGTTTCAATTTGATGTTTCACACGAAAATTTTTCAGATTTTCATCCTGAAGTAGAATTTTTAAATTAAAAAGTGACTGGGGTGGGCAAGGGGTTGAGACTTAAATGGCCCTCTAAAGGAAGCGAGATTTTGTTTTGCCTTCTTCAAACATTCTTTCATCAAGCTCCTCTGGACTCCGTTAGTTTGAAAGGCCCACCCAAATTTTGCTCCAGTTTACCTTAATTAGAAACTTGTTTCTGTCTTACTTTGTTGCATAGTGCTGGATGTGCCATCTCTTGCAGTCCCGGAAGAGCTGGGATTTATGTGAGGATTACAGAACAGATCATGAACCGTGATTTAATTCTGCAAAGCCTTGTTCGTGTACCTAGCCGAGGACACAGCGAGTAGTTCCATTGACTGCGATGGGGCTCTTCTGTGCCTGAAGCTCACAAGTGAAGGTCTCAGCAGGGCCATGGTCTGGTTCAGGGACCAGAGAGAAGTTACAACTGCATGGTAAATGAAACAGGAAGGAAAAGGCCATGAAATAACTACGTGCTGTTTAAAAAAGAGCAGCAGGCAGTTTGAGAGTCAGAAGTCATTATCAACAACCATACAGTTGATAACCATACAGCTGGGGTTTGGGGGTGCTTCTGACAATCCCTTATTTTTCAGAAGCAGCTCTTCTCTTAGTAATGGGTGCATTGTGTATGTTCTCTAAATGCTTTTTCTTCTTATAACAGCTTTTACAAAGCAGTTTGCCTTGTATCACATCATTATTCAGTTCCATTTTCAAGTATGTGTCATTTTACACATATGTAAGCTACTTTGCTTTATAACAAGCCGCTTTTTTTTTTTTTCTTCCAGTCTTAGATAATATATGGCTTCACAAGAGGAAAAACAATCTCAGCCCTTTACAGACATCTTCAATGAAGACGAAGCTGAAAAATCCTTTCTGTTGTCCAAGCCCGCTTGCTTAATTATCCTTGGAAAGCCAGTATGATCTCTGATAGATGTTCCTTTTTCAGATATTCTGCTAACAATTTTACTTTTTCTGATCATAAAATACTCATTGAAAGACAATGCAAAAAACACACATATATATATATATATATATATATTTTAATCTGAAATCATTGCCTTCAGTAGATGCTTGATATTAATACAGAATTTAACAAAGGGTTGAAATTACGCAGGCCTGGTCAGGAGGGCAGGGAATTAAATATTCTTTTTTTTTGATCATATCTTTTATTTATATGACTGATGTGTAGAGTACGTGTCTTAGTTAAGATATATCTTTTAAGTTAAAAACATAGTGCCATTAAAGCAAAACCAAATACTTATTTTCTCATCACACCTGTAAGATGTAAGGTATGAGCAGACTGGAGTGTTTGCTCATACACTGTTAAATGGAAATGTGATTTATTTGTGGCTTTTTACAATTTTTTAATCACAAAATTTATCTAGGGCAAACAGACTGTCATAAAAAGTTTTCTTGTATGCTCTTGTAAAAAGAGCATAATCCTCAGGGTGGAAGATGGTGAGTTTTGCAAAGTCCCATTTAGGTAGCTGTACTCTTAGAAGCCTCATTACTCTTGGGTATCTTGATTCCTCATGATTCATGTAAGTCATAAAAAACATTTTGTCAGTATCTAAACCAGATTTGTGGACTAACGAGGGTAATTTTTATATATTCATTATTTTAGTCAAAGAATACTGTCCCTGTATACCTTACTCAGAAACAGCTGAACAGCTTTGCGTCATAATTTGCTTTGAGACTGAAGATAATAAATTTCAGTCCTGCAGAGTTTCTCATAGGAATTTATGGGCAAATCATAGCTGAATTTTAGATAATGTTACTCAGAAACAAAGTCAGTATAATTACTTTGGAGATCATTAACTGCAAAGGGCAGTAACAGTGTATTAGCAATGCTAGGCAGTTTAAAATAAAGGATGGTATTAAAAAGAGTGTGTTTGCCCAGTGCATAACTCAGAGGCCCTAATCCTGATGGTAGCTTTTAATTGTTTTTATAATATGAAAATATATTCTTTATTGTGTAATATGTTTGGGTTTTTTTTTTCCCTTCTGCCTGTTTTTGTTTTAAATGTGTATTTTTCATTTTAAGGGTTCTGGAAAGAAAACATTAGCTAGAAAACTAGCACAAATATGGAAATGCATTTTTATAGAAGGTAAACATATGCTATATGCATTGACTTCATAATATCTTTTGGTTTAGAATATCCTTGTTGTTCCCTGTAATTCAAAATGGCCTGGTTTGGGTTGCAGTAAAGACTACTGATAAAGACCAAGCAACCATTTTGACAGAAATGCAATTACTGAAAAGTGGCCTTTTAGTTATAGAGAGGCTTAGAAAATCCCTTTTTTTTTTTTTTTTTTTTTTTTTTAAGGGGTTTTTTTCTTTTTAAGGGGATATACATGAGACATAATAATCAAATCTATTCCCAATCCTGTAAGGTGATTCATGTGACCCTTCTGGTTCACATGGAGGCAACTCATTCAACTCCAGATTGCACAGAGATTTTCCAGTACAGACCATGAAAAAAAAAGAGGATCTTTCCTTTCTGTTTGTACAGTGCCTAATACAAGGTGGGGGAGGATGTATTCCAGGAAACAGAAGTGCAGCTTTTGTATCAGTATAATCATGGAAAGAATTGGAGCTGGCACTCTGAGATTTCTAAACCAAAAATATCCAATGGCTTATTTCAAAAGATGTAATTAATTTCTCCCACCATACATTTACCATAATACAAGATACAATTTCATTTTCTAAGATATTCAGCTCAATTTCTGACCTTACCTCTCATGAAAGATTTTTGAAGATCTGTAGAGTAAAACCCATTATAATAACATTATCTTATTCCCTGTCAAGACATTGCTAGAGATTTTTTTTTTCATTTCGAGACATCTCAGTAAGAAAGTAGGTTCCTACAAAAAATAATTAAGTCCATGTTTTAATTTGCCTTAATTTGTCCTCTTTAATTTAAATATTTTATCAGAAGTAACAAAAAAAACCTTTTTAAAGTCTATATTTTTTTTTTTAAGTCCTGGTAATATTTTTATATCTGTGATATTGTAACTCACAAATCTTTATTCATTCACTTAAGTTTTATGAAAAAATAAGACGTTTCCACCAGATTTGTCCTACCAGTTTGAAGGCTAATATAATCTTTTTAAATAGAAAAGAAAGCATATAATAACCTTACCTATGAAGCAATTCTTGAGTGTTTCTTTGGAGACATCGAATTATAAATCTGATTTTATGATATATATGTGTACAGTTGTTCTGATTATGAACTATTTATATATTGATTTTCATTACGTTTTTTTCTTTCAAATATGCCACTGGTATTTTTTATTGCTCTAATGAAAGCTCTCTAGTGGTCAGCATAACACTTCATATTCCTGTGAATATGTAGGGTTATTTATCAAATGAAGTATCTTTATCTTATTTTGAAGATCTGGAAGTATAATATAGTAAAATTCAGTTTTTATAAAGTGCTTTTTTGACTTATGTAAATATAGAATTTTTAATTCATAGGATTGTCTAATAAATAATTAATACCTGGTCCAAACCATAGATCAGTCCAAACACAAGGGACCATAGGAATGTACTTAAGCTGATCCACACTGTTTGAAGGTATTTAAACCATTATTGACAAATGCCTATAAATTTTCTTTTTAAAAATCTCTAGGCAATCTATCTTTATAACACAGTCTTTGACATTAGAAAGTTTTTCTTAATGACTGATGTAAATGTCACTTATTGCATTTTTATGCCCTATTTCTAGTAGATTTCATGATATCTTCTTTTGTCTAGTGTACCCACACATGGGTACACATACACATTCCTTGAACTTTTGCTAACAGGCTTTTTTCATTTTCCACATCAAAAAATAAAGAAATAAATTCAACATAATTCAATAATCATAAACATAATCAATTTAAGTTTAGTCTGGAGAAGATAAGGCTGAGGGGAGACCTAATTGCCCTCTACAACTACCTGAAAGGAGGTTGCGGAGAGATGGGTTTCAGAGAGTCTGTTTAACCGAGTAATAAGCGATAGAACAAGAGGCAATGGCCTCAAGTTGCGCCAGGGAGGGTTTAGACTGGATATTAGGAAGCGTTTCTTTACAGAACAGTTCGTTAGGTGTTGGAATGGGCTGCCCAGGGAGGTGGTAGAGTCCCCATCCCTGGAGGTGTTTAAGAGTTGGGTCAACATAGCGCTGAGGGATCTGGTGTAGTTGGGAACTGTCAGTGTTAGGTTAATGGTTAGACTGGATGATCTTCAAGGTCTTTTCCAACCTAGATGATTCTGTGATAAATAAACGTGAATAATATAGCTCAGAAGGGACCTCCAGTGGTCATTGAGCCCAGCCTTCCATTCAAAGCAGAGTCAACTAGAGAAGGTTGCTCAGAGCTGTGTCCAGTTGTGTCTGGAATATATCCAAGGATGGAGACTCCACCACCTCTCTGGGCAACACTTTCCAAAGTATGATCGCCTTCATGATGAAAAATTGCTTCCTAATTACTTAATTGGAATTTCTGATGTCTCTATTTGTGTCTATTGCTTATTGTCCTGTCGGCACTTCTGTGAAAACAGTGATTCTGTCTTTGTGCCTTCCCAGTAAGTAGTTTTAGACAGCTGTAAGAGCTGTCCTGCTTTCTCCAGGCTGAACAAGGAACAAGGCCGGTTCCTTTGGACTCTCCTAGTACATTCTACATTTCTAATCATCTTGGGGCTCTCCACTGGACTTGCTCCAGTGTATCAATATCTGTTCTGCACTGTATTATTATTTTTTAAAATAATGCAAGATAGAGAATTTTTAAATAAGAAAGGTGTTCCCAGTCTTTGTAATTTGACAAAATATTTTCTATCCATTTATCCAATGCATAGGTCAATAATCATAAATAAGACAGGGCCATGGTACAATTATAGTGCTGGTTTTCAGTTGTCTGGATTGTTTGTTAGTACATTCCCTGTCTCAGTTTTGGCCCATGGCAAATATTGCTCTCCCAAACACCCATTCATAGTATGGGGGTTAAATACTGATCTCCCATTCGTAGTATGAGGGTTAGTATGCACAACAATTGTCATTACTAGTAGGAACTGTTTAAAAACAGCCACTATGTTTTGGGAAGAAAGATTTTAGCTGTATAGGCATGAGCCACCTGGCTTCAGGACCTTTCCCTGGCCTGGTTTATTAGTAATATAGATGTAGCCTTAAGGGTCATTCCTGAAAACTTTCATTAAGTGACTGCTTATTTCAATGGTATAGAAGTGTGAAAGACTTTCGAGATCATTCTGCTATGATGTCACTGGCCACAGAGACAGAGGGCAGGTCTCTGAATTTGATGGGTGTCAAATTTAGTATTTATTTAGTTTTAGATTATTAGACTATATATGGAGTAGGTTTTTAAGAGCTTTTTAAATGCAGATGGTTTTGTGTGTCTGAACAGTTATTTTTCTAAAACTTGCTTTTAAAATCTGGGAAGTGTCTGAGCCCAAATACTCATCTCTGGATACACAGCAATAATGCTAGCTTGGTATAAATCAGTAGTTAAAATAATCCTGCAAGGCTGCTGTTGTGCATTTGCCTGTAGTATCTATAGGGTTAAATTGAAGGGAAGATCATCTGCCCAGGCATTTCAGAAGGCACTGAGGTCAGGATGAACAAAACATAATAATGGCCCTAAATATAATGGCTGTTCATTCAAAAATAGTCTGGTTGTTTGGAGCACACGTACCTACTCATATATATATATGTGTGTGTGTGTGTGTGTGTGTATGTATGTATCTGCATGTACATGTCTGTATATAAAATATTTTAATTTTATTCTGTCTGATGTGCTTCCTCAGCTTTAGAAGTAATTCAAATGAATATTCAAGAAGAGACAGAATACGGGCTTAAGGTAAAGGTCTAATCTTCTAGCAAGTGTTGTCACATTCTTGATGAATACATATTCTACAAGACTGTTTTGCATTTTACCTTAGTGTCAAGAATTGCTTTTTAAAGGTCAAAGTATTTCTGAAGAACTGGTTACAGAAATGATTCTAAAAAAGATTGAGTCACCAGAAGTTGCTCATTTTGGTAAGTATATTTCTAGTCTAAACTTAGAATGAGCTAGCTATAATTTTAACATGCTTTGCATCCATTACTGCTCAAATACAGCTTATTTTGTACTAGATGGTAGGGCTTTTTCTTGTGCTTCTCAGGCTGCAGAATATCCATAAACCAAGACTGTATTTAGGGATCAATTTACCATATCGGATATCAGAATGTGTCATACCAGTCCTATGTTGTGTTAATTTTGAGAAAATGAATTTGCCCCAAATTTTGAGTGTTGCTATGACTTTTATTTGACAATATTATCCAGTTAGAAAAGTTTTAGGATTTAAAATACGATATTTTTTTTTGCTCGAATACTTCTATAACAACAAAAAAACCCATCAGCAAAAACATTTTAAACATTTAAAATAACGAAAAAGAAGGAAAACAGGTTATTGAAAATTCAAAGTCTTATGGTCTCTTTTTTTCTTACAACATTACGTATTCCCCTTGCATTTTGTCACTGAAAGTTAGATGAGAACAGTGTTGGTAGTGGTAATGATTCTTCCTTTTGAGGAAAAATTTTGTTAATTGAGTCTGTTAAGACTAGTGCTGCAGATCTTGCTAGAGTCTGAACCTGCTTTCCTGAAGAGAAAAACAAATATATGGCTAAGTGGAAAGAAAGTAAAAGAAAATGTAGTTTCTTTTTCTGGTGCAGACTTCTAATGGAATTGTCCATTATAGGAGAGAGACGGGTATAGTGACAAGGAAATGTTAAGTTTCTACTGCTCTGAAAAGTAACACACTTCTATAAGGTTTCAGTTGCAATGGTTTTTGTTCCTTCTCTAGTCCAAGACACAACAGTTTTGCAAAAGATGCAACTTTACATAGTGAAACCAGGCTTTTAAAACAGTAGAAAAAAGACAGAGAAATAGGGAAAAAGATAAAAAAGAGGAGATGAGGAGGAAACAAAGATTTGAGGGAGGAAGTAGCAGCAGAAATGCCAGTCTCTTAATCCATAGGTCAGGACTTTAAGAAAAGCCTGAAGAGACATCTGTGCTATCTGAGTTCCCTGCTTCAAGTCAGTCAGAAGATGAATGCTTAAATTGTGTGTGTCACAGAGATCCTAGAGCCTGGAAACGTCTATTAAGTTGATAAAAGCTTGGTTCTTGTAGCCACACCATTTTCTGTATTACAGATGACTCAAAGTAGCAAGGAATAGAATAACCTACAGCCTCTCTATTTTTCCAACCAACTAGAACTGATCTCCAAAACCAATTTTTGTTAAGTGTTTTCTAGGTCTAATAACTTTTTGTTTAGCACCTATTATCTTAATATAATCCTTGAAAAGCTGAAGTAGGTTTTCAGCAGGAACTAATCAGTCAATTATTCATTAAAGATTTTAGAAACACTGCTGTATGAGAAGCTGAGCTTTTTACTTTTAACATTTGTTTTTAACAGTGTAAAATACAAGTTTCTAAACAGTACACACAGCAAGGAATTATTTCAATTATATTCTTCTGATTTTCATAAACACCTATTATGTTGCATACTGATGTGTCAGAGATTCAGAAGTGTTAAAACAAATGATAGTATTTAAAAACTGTAAGTTATGAAAAACTTTTTTTGACTTCTGAAGGAGTTCAGATGTGAAGCTTCTAAGCTATTTCTTGAAATAAAGTGTCTCTTTTTAAAATAACATAGTCACTGGAAAATAACAAGCATACTTGTATTTTACGGTATTGTAGGTAAGAAAATACAGAATTATAAGCTTAGTGTATCTGATATGCTTGCTAATTGTGTTTTGTAAATAGACCAAGAAAACAACCAGAAGTTCATATCATGTTAACCTAAATATTTGCAAAGGAAAAATCTATGTCATTATCACAGGGGAAAACTGCTTCATTAGCATGATCTAAATCAAATCAGGAACAAAGTTGTTTATTGATTTATTAATGGCAAGTAATTAACTGACACTCAGTGAACTGTTGATCAATAAAAAGGTTCAGTATCAGCCACACAACAGACAAGCCACAGCAGTAAGCACTTGCCAAATATTAATCATCACCTGCAAATTTCTGAACACTCTCCTAAAACTAATTCCAGACTATACTCAAACTTGCATGGTCATGAATGCAAACCCTCTCTCAAAGATGGGTGGAAGTGACAAGCACACACTCCCTTTTCTGAGAATGCATGTTCACCTATTTAAGCACACTTTCTGTTGGAAAAGTGGGTGCTCTAGCTCTCTGTGTGCCATTTCCTACAGTCTAATCCACGCACTGGTGAGAAAGCTCCCCATGAACTCACATACAAACACTCGAGGTGTAGGTCACTACATGTTTAACCCTGTTCTGTCAGTCCAGTAGTTGAAATGTAGGTTACTCACAGCATCCAACAGGGAGGCTGCTCTGTCAGGCCTCGACGGAAGGTTGTAGCACTGGCACATCAAACCTGGTCAGGCTGCTGTTCTACCTTGCTCTCACACTAAGGTTTCTTTCCCCAGTCACAAATTTGAACGCTTCTTTTCAAGATGACTCCTTCTTTCCTCAGAAGTTTCTTGGTAATCCCCTGGTTACTATTGGATCTGGTTGATGGTTGCCTTAGGCAAATTTATCATTGTTAGTCTCTCCACAACATTATCAGTTTGGGGGCAAACACCTTCTCAGAGAACAAACAGTTTGGGATAATCTTTTGCCGTTACACTCCCATTCCTCTCACATTAGCCGTTGTTATCCAGGATGTGTTGATAAGCAGAGGCTGTGCAGACTTCCCACGTTTTACTACCAGTTAGAATTCTTTGAAGGTATCAAGAACTTAAAATCCAAGTTTTTAATTTCCTAGAGGAATGACTAGTCATTATGTGCTTCTCCTCTATAAATGCTCTATTTATTCTATATATTCCATATTATTCTATATATTTCTATTTCTGTTTTTCCTCTTCTATAAATTTTGCATCCATGGATAGTAGCTCCCCAAAGAAGTTGTCTTCAGGTGTAATACCTCTTGCAAAGACTGCTGCTACATTTTTGTGCGGCATAGACTTTTATTTAAATGTTAACACATAATATTCTAAGCATTTGGAGCATGCACCATTTCTCTAAGGGAATATTCTCATTAGGCTAAAAAAATCCACCTGATTCGTGTTTTGTGTCTCATTCTGGCCTCATGAATATTGAGTTCCTTGCTCTATAGTAGTTCTTGCTGCACTGCACAGCCTTTAGTAGTTACAGTACTCTCCTAGGAACTTGAAGCCACAAGTTCATCTGTCGCGCTGAGCACTCTAATACTAGGGAAAAGGTATTATTACCACCACGCTTGTCATATATAGTCAGTGTCTCTTTGCCAAAGAGGACTCAGCACTGTGAATCCTGAGTGAATGGATGCTTCAGTATACATAGTGTGTGCATTCTATTCCTTCTATTGGGAGGATTTGACATCCAGGAGTACTAGGTATCCCATAAAGTTGTACAGGCTCCCTTTATTATCCACAGAAGTGAAGACCTTTAAAAGTTGTATAAAAAGCCTAGGCTCCTCATTGAAATGCTTTGTATCATAGAGTGGATGCTTTTTGCAATGCCTTTTACAAGGTCTTCTAGTGGAAAAAATGGTCACGTTACTTTTTAGGCACACATGAAGCAGGTGGAATGAGTATGATCTTTAATGTCTACAAATTTCTTCTACTAACTGAGTTAACAAACTTTGAGAATTCTATATCAAGTTGAAAACAATACACTTTTTTGTCTGTATTTCATCTGAAGTAGACGTGGGTGTACAGTTTTTTAATGGTGTTATGTCATGCACATGGTTTAAAATTGTGCCACTGAATAGATGTATTGTTTAAAGGAGATAACTAGTCCTATATTTGACAAAACCTTCTAAAAGGTATATTTAATAAAATGTATTCGGCAGGTTACGTTCTCAGTGGATTTCCTTCTCTGTCAGAGGAATACATGACTGTTTCACAGCAAATAGAGAAAATAAAGAATCTAAAATTAAAACCGGATTTCCTGATTAACATTAAGGTAATGCCATCTTCAGTAACTTGCTAATAATTTTCCTAATTATTAGTAGACTCATATGCTGCATAAGTCAAAGATAATATTTTCTCCTGTGCGTTTGTATATATAATCAGCCTCTGCTGTTGTGCTCCATTCTCGTTGGTATTTGGATTCTAGTTGTCATATCTGTGTGGTTTGTCGATGCTGCACGTTGGTTCATGGACCTAGTCTATCACTTTGCCACATTTAAGTCCTTATTTGTTTTAATTGCATACTTTTGAGACTTACTTTGTTTGATCATGCGCAGTGAAACTTTGTGAATGCCTACTTCAAACCTTTTTTTCTATGCTCATAGAAAGACCTTAAAACATCAGAGAAATGTGTTTTTGTGTTGCTTTCCAGGCCGTTTTGATTTTTTCAGCTACAGAAAGTCAGTCTTTGTTTTAATACCAAATAGTGAGAAATCCCAGTTCTCGAGAATTTATGTTGTATAGTTTCACATGCAACAGTACAAATAGAAGGGTGATACTAACTACACTAGAAGGGAGACAGAATACTTGACTTCATGTAGTTACATCACCTTCTCCAGGAAGAAGACTGAGAGTGAATGATCATAAAAAATCCTTGCCCCAAAGTCAAATGAATAATTTTGCCTTTGATTCTATGTTTCAATAATTTGATTCTATGCCTTCAATTCTGTGATTCTACAGTTTCAGAGATACCTCAGGAAATGAGTGTGGTGTGCCTATTGGTAGCAATGCTATCTCAAAAGCTCTGTATTTTCTGTAGAAATCACTTCTCCATTGCTGTAACAATTTGATCTTCACAACTACAAGATTTTCTTGTTATCTCAGGTTTTGCATATATGTTTGAAGGGTAGGTGTTAGTGATTCAGAAAAGAAGAAAGATTATTTATGTTTTGTTGTGCTTCACCGCCAATTCCGTAGTAGAATTTTGAGATACCCATCCTAAGACCTGTTGGAGACCTGGGGACTCCAAGTGTGTATTAATGCAAATACAATTTAGAACAGGTTAGATGATAGAAGCTTTATTAACTGTGATCGTAGCGAGCGAACATTCAGACAGCATCTGCCCCTCTGCTCCCCTGTTTTCTGCTACTTCATTGCAGAGGCCCAACAAGCATTTTTTGTTTCAAAAAAAAAAAAAAAAAAAAAAAAAAAGGTGTGAAGAAAAACAATCGCTTCAGTGTTAACAAAGTCAGATATCCATCTGAGGAATGGATGGACTCCTGAGGTAGTTTTCTACCTAACACGATTCCGAGGACTCAAAGGGTACATAATGTGACAATGTAGAAAGAAGGCTCTAGGTGGAGCCTATAGAGTGGCACACCCAGTATTATCTTAGCTCAGAAGTGGGGAGGTGGAAGCAGTCACAGACGGTTAGCTTTTAGTTGAAAGGAATGTTTTAATTAGGGTAAATGTTTTAGTTAGGATAAACTTCTTAGGCAGACCTCTCAAATCTTAAATATTAATAATTTTACCATCACAGACTACATCCAGATTTATATGTGTTTAATGCTAAACTAAATTTGTGACTGCAGGGCTTTCTATGGAAAGACCATTGCTTACTCTTCCCAACTGCTGAACTGCTTTAGCCTCTGACACAATGGCAGTATGCTTTCGGGTAATAGTAGAGCTCTGAGAGGTCAGACACACCTAGTAAAATTGACTGAATCTTGCTCAAGACCAAACCACTTGGCATCAATTGAAGGAGCAATCACAAGCCTATCTGCAAAATACTTTTACCTGTAAACTACACCTACACTTGTTATACTACAAGGTATAACTTGAATGGTAAAATGCGTTCAAGTAGTGGCTATACTTCTGATACGGAATGTAAAATACTGATTGGGGAAAACTATGTAAGTGTTTAAGTCTTTCTTAATATTTGCTGCTTTTGAAAATTTTTGTGTTTACTCAGAATATTATTGGAGAAGTTTATGAATCTGAATATTTGCCAGACTCCTACCTGCCGTTCTGCAGTTTCAGGAAAAACAGTACAATAAACACCTGATTTCCTTTTAATTATTCCTTCCTAGTGTTCAGATTATGACTTATGCCAAAGAATATCAGGACAAAGGCAACACCCTGATTCAGGGCAGGTATATCAGAGGAACCAATGGGATCCTAACATTATTGAAAAGCATAAGAAAAAGAAAGATCAACACGAAGAAGAGAATGAAGAAGATGAAGAGCAGGAAGAAGAAGAGGTAAATATTGCTAATTTCTAAACAGTGCCAAGTATTATAATATACTCTAGACAAAGCAGAACAAATTCTGATATTCTAAATTATCACCATATGAGTTGCTGTTCTGCTTTGAGATATGAGATAATATTTAAATGATAGGTTTAAATGACAGCAAATGGTGATTATTGTATAGATTAACATGGATTCAGTCTCTAAATCTGAGGTCACCGCACACTTTCTTGCCATAGGTTAAAAGGGTGTATCACAAGAATGGTGACTCTATATTGTCTGCTTCTTAGTGTAAGCAAATAAAAAATTCTTAACTTTTGTTTATTGTAATAAAGTTTACTAGTACTAGTATTTACAGGATATGAGCTTGTTTTCTGGTTCTGACTAGTACAAAGGGAGATTTTTTTTTCTTTCTCCTTTTTTCTTTTTTTCTTCTTTTTTTTCTTTTTTTTTTTTCTTTCTTTTTTTTTTTTTTTTTTTTTTTTTTTTTTTTTTTTTTTTCCTTTTTTTCCCCAGGAAGGTATTAATTTTGAATTCAGGTTGAATCGTTCTGGTTTGTAATGTTGGACAGAGACTTATCAGTGCAGGTTCTAGGCACATTCTGCGAAATTTGCAGAAACTGAACTTCATCAGGATAGGATCACAATCAGCAATCACTAGACTAATAACGCAATATTCTGGAAAGCTATTTTATTTACCTTTGAGTAATGACAAAAATTAGTTTAGTACATTATTTCTGTATCTTGAAATATTTAACTTTTCATTCTGCAGACTGCAGAAGACCCAATTATGACATCAGAATTTTTACATCAATTAGTGCAGAGGCCTGAAGATATTCTTGAAAATGCAGAAAAAAGAGTTGGAACCTATAAGGATATAATGCTTCATCCTTTAGAAGTAAGAAAAAGCAAAATAACATGATTATGCATAACAAAATCTTTTAAAAATATCTTACAATGTTTTCTTTTTTAAGTTTGAGATTTTTTTGTATGGAGGTGGGCACAAGGCATGCTACAACATATCCCCAGGTTCTGAAATTCATACTGAAATCAATGATAAAAAGTTGTCATCTGTATCTGTTGTTCTACTCTGGAGTCAAGATAAAGTAATCCACTTCGAGTTTTAAAAGTGAAACATATCTGTCACCACAGATGCTTCCTTAATCTAGGAAGTGAAGTATTTGGAAAGCCCAATGTATCATCACCATTAGCAAAGTCCATTCTAGGATTCAATCCCATAAGAAATCTGCTCTTTGCAGCCATTGCCTTTCACTCCAATAGATTCCCTTTCTCACCTGCCTCATTGCCTGCAGATTTATATACACAATAAATAGCCCATCAGTTTGCTTTACCACCTATTTAATTTCTGCAGCTGTAATGTTGGGGTTTTTTTTCTTTCCTTGTTGTGTTCAGGAAAGTTGGATTTACTACCTATCTTTTTCCCCCCAAAAAAAACCAGAAAGAGGTCTAAAGCAATAGTTAGGGTTGGGTTTTTTTGTTTGTTTGTTTGGGGTTTTTTTAAATCTTCTGGTACAAGCAACTGCAAAAATCTCATATTTGCTGCGCACCTGACAATTACTCTTTATTTATGCCCTTCAATTTCCCTATGGATTAGATAAACCTATAGATAAATTTGTGTAAAACTGACATAATGTTCTTTGTTAGAGTAACAAACTTGTTACTACTGTGAAGGGGAAAGCAAAAAATGTGCTGTCTTTAATTATGATACAATCTCACATAGATTTCTCGTAAGCAAACTAATGGAAAGTTTTTTAGACTAAATTACTTTATGATGTACATCAATCTTCCAACACTTTCATCACATTCCACTAGTTGGTAGGTCTTACTCAGGCTTCAGAAATGATCAATGTATTCGTGAACATACACTAATACATTAAAAGAACATGGGGGTCTATCACCCCCATGGCCCAGGTAGATGTTGAGATGATGAAATTGGAAAAAAAAAAAAGCTTATAAGATGTGCAATTTGCACTGAACTGGGATAGGTAGAAAGAACTTTGGAGAACAGACTTGGATTTCTTGATAAATTATTAGGATGAAAGTGAGTAGAAATAGGGGTGAAATACTAACAGTAGGGCAGAAACCTAATGAACAACTACAACATGTGAAATAATTGACTACATCTCAGTACTCAAAATAATCTGCAATCTGTGGTGTTTTAGTCAGCAACTGAGTCAATGTATGTGATGTTATTGTACAAAAGCAAATATCATGGATGTACTAATAAAACCATTGTATATAAAAGAAACACAAACTATTATGTTCTCTGTAGAAGAGTATTAGAAAGAAGTAATTGGTTATTATCTATTTCTACCAAAAATAGCACAAATAATTTATTGTATAGAAGACTTAGACTAAGTGCAAGGAGTTGAACTCTGACCGTAAGCATAGTGAAGAACTGGAACAGATTACCTACAGAGTTGTAAAGTCACCTTTGCTAGGCTTTTTCAGGGCTGGGGTTAGACCAACATCTGTTGGTCAACAGAGTGAGTGTACTCAGTCCTCAGACAGAGACATTAACAGTGGACATGGGATGTCTATTTTAGTCTAATATCTTATTTACTAATGGGAAAATTGAAAATAAGAAAACCCAAATAGATTATTCAAATTTTACAGAAAATGAGAGTCAGAACCAAAATAAAAACATTGGTCTTATGGCTGGTATTTCCAAGAAATCTGTTCATTGACATTGTCACCATTTTCCAGCAGAGAATTAAAGTAGTTAGACAATTAGAAGTTGAATCCATACACAAAATGTTACTGTGTCTTGATGCTTTATAGCTCTCTTGCATTTGAGCTAGGTATCTCATCTGTTTTCTGAACCCTTTGTAACTTGGATTTTGGAATTCTCTCTGTATTTATCTATCACCAAATAAAAGTTTATCTCCAGAAGATTTTATAAGTCATCATGTTATGAAAATTACACATGCCAGCCACCATAGCAGGGTTCGACTCTAGGTTTCTGCTGAATCAATAAGCTAAAAGATAGATTCCTGTGTAAAAGTACTTTTTATTAATAGTGCCAGCAGCTTGAGCAGGGTGCCTCTAAAGAGGGACCTCAAACAAAGAAATCCTTGGGCATAATACCTTTACACTCTAAATTCCCCACTCCTCACATGACAGTTTGGGTCTGAGGTCTTCCTGTTCCTCACTGGGTCCCTTCATTGTTTCTAGGCAGGCCATTTATTTTCTTATCTCTAAGGTTGCAACTTCCATAAATGAATGTAGCTTCTTTGTCTTCTTGAACAAGCTCTGGGGCCTTCTTTTACTTGACTAGGTAAAAGTTCTACATACATAGGTGAAGGTTCACAGCTTGCAGCAAATTTAGCAAGTTATGCTAAACAAATTCTATATCAGTAGTATACCAAATCACACAACAGTCAGTACAAGGAATTTTGGTTTTACTCAAGTCCACAGGAGTCCAGTCTTTGATATGTATAGGAACAGAATGAGCTTCAGTGTCATTGTCTGGTTAACTATGTTCAACTGATAAGTCTATTTTTGTTCTTAAACAGGACTTGATGGCTGAACAGGATTGTCAATATCTTATTGAACTGGATGGAAATCAACAACCAGATGATCTCTTTGTAGTAAGTAAGCTATGCACCAATTTAATTAACCTCCACTAGAAAATAATTTCTTAATTCTGTGGATTGTTTTTTGTTAAGGTGTTGACAAAATTTTGAGTGGTATATGAAACTCATTTAATTGCTATTGGAAAACATGACCTTTGAAATGCTTGCTTTTGTTGCTTTATTAAAACAATTGTAAGATTTACTGCACCGCCCCCAGGCTTACATATATGTTACATGAGTATATTTTCAGGCAGGTTACAACCTCCTTTGTATTGTGTCCACCTGTTTTTAGCACTTTACTTTGTGTGTTAGTGTAAAATATCATTATTAAGATGAGAAATTAAAACATTTTATGTGTGATATAGTTACAGAATTGGCTTATTTTGTGCAGGTGTCTAAAATAATGACAGAACTTTTATGAACTTTGATATTGTTTTACAGTGTAATAGAAGACATTTCATTCTTTTAACGATTCTCAAGTGCTTGTTTCTAGATTTTTAGCTCATAACATAGCAAGTCATTCTCCCTATTAGAAAACTACAATGTTAAAAATTGAAGATAAATAATCTTATACTCTGCCTCATAAATAAGAGTTGCTTTAAATCAGAATCTAAAGTATGGGGTTGTAAATGAAGTGATTGTCTTTGAAAAGGTAGGAAGTGAGCTGCTCCTGCAGTATTCCTGCTGTTCTTTGAAACAAATTGAATCACTTATAATTATGTAAGTATTATTTTAATTTATGCTTAACTTTACTACCAAGAGTAGTCATATGGGAAAAAAACCCACTAATTTTGCAGAGTTGGAACATAAAATTTCCTTACTTATGATGTTTGTGACCATTGCAACAGAAAATGTAAAGGCAATCAAATTGTGTAATGATTCCAACCATTTTACCTATAGGTAAGGCAAATACCTGTTATGAAACTAGTCCAAACATGACAAAATTTGCTTTTTCGATTCAAGAACACTTTCATTTAAGCAAGATTACATTCAGGAAATCCTTCAATTAAATTTAATATCATCTGATTCTCATTGGCAGACATCTGGTTTAAGTATCTTTAATACCCACAGTTGCATTATTCCCAGACGTGCATAATCTGATCTCCTAAAGAGACTTTCCTCCTTTTCAGATTGGAGCTCATCTGAATAATTCTACTGCTTTGTGGGAAAGAATCCTTCACAGGCTATTCTTTTAGAAGGTTTGGGATTCACAGCATAATGAGGAGATAAAAAGGCTGTGACAGTATTTTGCACTGCCTGTATTTACCAAATAGCTTGTTAAAACTCAGCTCAACAACTAGCTTGACTTCAAGCTAGAAACTGGACCTTAGTGTATATGTAACAATTATATAAGTTAAGATTTTAAAAATACTTTGGGGTTCCTTTTGGATCACAAAAGCAGTTTTTATTGCTACTAAGTAAATAGTTATTTTCTCTTCAGTCAGTGGTAGTTCGACTTCAATCTCTGGGTGTTCAAAATGGAGCTCCTATAACTAGACTTCAAAGTCAGCAAGAAGAAACGCTGGAGGGACTGGAAAATGTAAGTGTGCTTTTGTAAAATCTGATTGACTGTAATAATTACTAAAATGTTTCTTATTTTCTGCTGTAATTTTATATTACACCTTTTATATTACACCTTTGTTTCACAGCAACCACTTTGTTTTACCCTGCAATAGGTAAATTTTGAGCCTCGATTTTCCAGAAATTTGAATATAAGATAATTCTGGGACTGTAATCCACTTAGAAGAGTATGAAAAGAAAAAAGTCTGTCATTAAAAAAAAAAAAAAGAAATTATTATAATAAATTTTTGAACAAAATATGTGTTTGAGCAATAGAGGAAGAATGAATTCATTCCAAGAAAATAAAAAAACTTTGGCCAAAGGGTGATAATCTCAGCAGCTGACTTTTAGCTCAGTCTTTCCTCTTCCTGAATGAGAAACAGCATGCTAATACTGATTTAGCAGCATCCTGCATAGCTGAAATTGCATACATTGTTTCCTGTAATTAATTAGAATATGACAAATTAGTGCTGAATGTTTCTGAATCCTGACAATTATAATTTGTGTCCCTTCCAAATAAAACTGAAAAACATGTCTTTGCATAAATGTCTTCACCTATATTCACTTGCAGTCATCTTCTTTATTTCTGAAACAAAACTTTGAATATATGAACGGTACTGTAACTGGGAGACCCCACTACACATTTTCAGAGAAACACCCCTCCCTTCGCTTTTCTGTTTTCTCAGTCCCTGACAAATTCACAAGTGAAGGACTTTCTGAGTAAGAGGTCATCTGTATTTATTATTTAATTAGCCTCTGTGTTTGTGTCAGTCTGCGTGTAAGCTTCTAGCATCCCACAGTATCTGAGGCAAGGAGTTCTTCAGCTTAACTGGACATTATATACAGAATTGCTTCCAGTTGTGTTGAACCTGAGACCTTTTAGCTGAGAGTCCTCTAGTTGTTGATATGCAAAAGTCAGTAAATAGTTTTGTTCTCTGTATCTGCCCTTAAATAACTCATGATTTCAGATTTCTGTCCTGTTCTTACAAGCTGTCTTTTTCCTGGACTGAAGTTCTAGACTGAAGTTCCTGGACTGGAGTTCCATTCTAATTAATCTTCTATCTTCTTACATCAAAATCCTTTAGTGTGATTGATCAGCCATATTACCTTTTTCTGAAACTTTTCCAATTCGTGTACTTTTTGAGATTAGGGTAGCAGAATGCACATAGCAGTAAAGATGAGTGCAGGATTTATACAATAATAAACCTTTTTATTCTATTCTGTCTTTGATAAATATTCCTAACATTCAGGTTGGTTTTCTGACTGCTCTTGGGCGTTGACCAAATGTTTACATGGAAGTATGTATTATAATTCCAAGATCTATTCATGAGTAGTGATAGACAGTGACAACTCATCATTTTCTGTGTAAAACTGCTATTTTAATGCCTGGTGTCCTAGATTCTGAAGGTCCTTCTGCAGTTCTTCACAGCCAGCAGTTGTCTATAGTATTCTGAATAATTTAGTCACCATAAACTTTAGGATTCACTCACTAATCACCTTCTGTAAAATGTCTGTTAAATTTACTGCTATTTCTGCCTGCCTGAATGAGATAATTTGGCTTTCATATTGCCCCACAAAGACCATGGTCCTTTCTTCATCCCCTTTAGAAGAAATCATCACCATTTTCTGTCATCTTCAATAAATGGCTGATTTGTATCTCTTTATTGTTTTAAACTTCTGAAAATAATAGATAAAGCCTACAGGAGCTATTTTAAGTATTATTTTTATTAAATAAAGTTGAAAAACTAAATAGTTTCTCCTTAAAATTGTCCTACAATTCAGAAATATGTAATTTTTTAAAAAAATCTAAAATTTTAAAAAAAATTCTAAAAAGTGTGACTTTTAAGGTTTGCTTATTTTCCAACAAAATGTTTGAAAAAATGCTAAGAACAAGGCTATGTAGCTTCAGACAAAAATTACATATGCAGTTACTGATGTTTTAATAAACAGGATGAACTTTTCCGGGTTCTGTCATCTTACAAATTAATAGCACATGGATATCAATGGCGTAGAAGCAGGTGGGGGCAAGCATGTCCTGTGGCTCTAAAGGAAGGTGACATTGTAATGGGAAAGCCAGACTTGGCTGTCAGGTTAGTGCAATCTGACACTTTTTATTTGTATCTCTATTTTATAAAATAACTGTGTATATCTATTAGTTTCTCTTCTGTTTTAAGTTTTCTAGGGAAAATGTACATACTGTCATCCCCAGAGGCACTGAAAACCTTTATGTTAAATCCACGGCCTTACCTGTTACCACCAATGCCACTTCCTCCTTGTAAAGTACTAGTATTTGGTCCTCCATTCTCTGGAAGAACAACTATTTGTAACCTAATCGCACACAAATATAAAGGAAAGGTAGGTTTATAAATGTCTTACATAATAAGGGTATCAGCTGAGGCTTGGGAATCAGTTAAGCATATTCTTACTCCTGTTGTGTTATTAACATGCACAATTGCAAACATATGGATTAGAGGAAACAGTAATTTAGTGAAATTCATTTATATAAAAGTAGCTAACTTTAAAAAATATTTTTCTTTACCCTCTCTGCAAGACATATTTGTGTCAGTTATTTGTCTTAGCATAGGAATATTATGAATAATTTTTGTATCTAAGATAATTAAATATAAATGCAAATTAGAATTTTTTTTTTTCCACCGAAAAAACCTACACTTGAATTATAGGTACATTTTTCTGAAATTTGCAGAGCTTTTCCAAATTCATTTAATTGCATAGTTCAATCAGGTGCTATATTTCTCTTCTGTGATATTATTTTTTCAAATAATTTCACTAGGTTCTTGATATGGCCAAACTCATTCAACCACATATGGAAGAATCAAGAGAAGCAAACATTGAGCAAGTGCGAAGGGATACAGTAGAAAAAGCTATAACAGCAGTGAAAAATAGGTTGGAATTAGAACACCAGTCAAGAGAATCAGGTGAATAAGGTGTTCCATGGTCTTTGAAGCTATATTATTTGCTTTAGGTTATTTAACTGAAGCAATCACTGTCATTTCGACTTATATTACAGAAGTTGTTACAGTTGTTGGGCATTAAATATGAACTAAAAGAACATGCGGTGAAGGGAATAGCTGAGGAGAACTCAATGTTTTTGATATTATATGTAAATCCTCTGATACTGAGGGCCATGAATATGGAAGAAAGAGTTTTCTAAGCTCTTTTTGAAAGAAGAAATTGGTTCTGACTGATACTGGTTGGAAACTTTCCATTTGAATGACTTTCTGACAAGTTAAATTTCTGCAAAACTGAAATTTTCTTCAAGAAAGCAGCTTGTCAGCTGGGCTGATGTGAACCCACAGTCTACAGATTTTCCACTCTGGAGCAGCCTTCCAGTTATTGATGTCTCAGATGGCATATTCACAAGACTCTACAGCTCTGTCACATTTAGACTTCTTAAGCTGCCAAGGTTTTTGCAGCTTCATGAATTCAGAAAATATTTTGAAAAGGTGAAAATTACATGTTTTTTTAATATTTTTTAAAACAAAATTTAAATTTTCTTTTTGCAGGAAAGTTAGCGGGTATTTTCAAAACTAAAATTTTGAAATTAAAATTTTTCATTGAATTGGATTTGCCTTTTCCAGTTAGCCCTAGTTATGGTTCAACTGGACAATCAATCAATCAATCAATCCATTTTGCCTTATTCAACTAAGCAAGGAATCACCATATTTGATTTACTCATGGGTAGATACATATCTAACAAGAAGTCACTATATTCCTCTAGTGTTGCAAAACTTAGAAGCTGACAGTGATACAAAACCCATTGGTGTTGCAGTAAAAATAATGGTGAACTACCACACCAAAATTAAAACCATTAAACAGTGTTATATTCCAGGTCCCTGGCTATGTAACTACTTTTGAGGACAGGTAGGTGAAATCATACTAAAATTAATGAGAACTTAATCTTAATTAATAGTAACTACTTTTGAGGACAGGTAGGTGAAATCATACTAAAATTAATGAGAACTTAATCTTAATTAATAACCTTGGAGAGCTCAAGCAATTTTATTGCAAAGCAGAACTACAAACAGACGAAGGATGAAAATTGTCATAGAAAGTAAGAAAGCTTTGGAAGGGGAAATTAAATATTTTTGGAAGCTTGAATCTAGATCTAGAGGTAACTATCTCATAAACTGTTTCCTATTCCTAAGGAAATTATTTATTTAATTACTTAGTAAATTCTGCCTTTTGAGGGAATTACAGAGAATCAATAAAAATGATGCAAAAGACATCTATCAGTTTAAATAGTTAAATGGGCCCCTGTCTGTTGTGAGTTCTCCCAAGTCCAGTTCAGGGATAGACAGTGAGGCTGTGAAACTCCACTGAAGTCTGCAGAGTTTCAGTTTACTGTCAGAGTGGGTCAGAAGACTAAAGCACAAGACTGGTGCTAAGGACTCCATATCCATGTCATGCACAGAGGAGTTTGAGACTAGCTGTGCTGCAGTCTCATGGGCAGAACATTTAATGGTTTCAGCATAGTAAATGTACATCTGGAAGGAATCAGTTAGTTTGCATGTTCCGAGACTGCTTTGCTGTATGTACCAAACCATGGGAAGGATCAGGAGATTCACTTAAAACATACTTTTCTGATTCAGACTAAAGAGGTAACACTCAGAGGGTCCCAGTCTGTTAATGTGCTCAGATGACATCCAGCTCAAACAAAACCACATTGTTCTATCTAGGGGGGGAAACAGGGGAGGGTATTACATCTGTTAAACTGAAGAAGTGTTCAGCACTTTGGAATTTTTAAACTCTTTTCTGCCTTTTGTCATAGTTCTCATCTCTTTTAAGGGGAGGAACAAGCATATAAAACCGGGTACTGCTAGAGGGCCATTTGTGTCTCACAGGCTGATGGGTATGAGTCTTGCCTTCACTAGGGCTGGAAAAGTGCTTGTGATACCTAGGTGTGCTGGGGGATTCCACAGATTGGGAAGCTGCAGATGGAGAGAAGGCTGACATGTAGCTGGTTTCATCAGATGGAGTTTTTGGTGAAGTATTCGTAATAAAAGGATTTTCTACTGATAGATTTCTTTGAATTTAATACAATTTCATAACAATAGGAAACTTGCAAGAACGTAGTAATGTCAAAGAAGCAGATGATTCTGAAGAACCTGCTGAAACCAGAGAGGGAATAAACTATGAAGAGGGGACTACTATAAAATCTGCCATCATCAAAAAAAGTAAAAAGTAAATCTTAGCTATTTTAAGCATGTCATTACATGCCTTCAGTGCATCTTGCAAATTAAAAAGTGAAAGATAACATTATTTTGTTACCCTTGTAGGACTTTTTAAAACTTTTTCCTTGTTGCTGGTTTCTCAAAACCTAAAATGAAATGGTTAATTTTGACATTGGAAGATATTAATACCATGTTAGTGTATAGGGGAAAAAACTCCCACTGACCTTTGTAGGAGCTAAGCATGTATTTTCATTAAAACTTTGGTATTTTTTACATACATATCTTTTTATAGCATAAAACTGTTTCAGAATTTTTTAATAGATAAGGAGAATAGGTATTAATTCACACACAAACAAACAAGTGAAGAGAGGATCCAAATTCAGGAGTAGGATATTTTGCTACTTAAATATAAGAAACTTAGAAGTATGCTAAGTTTTAATTAACTTGCTGAAATATACTTAAACAAATTAAATACATGCGTAAGCCTGACATGGTTTACAAATAGTATTTTTTTCATACAGAACAGACTGATATTTCATCTCAGATAAGGATGATAGATTACTAGATAGATCCAATTAATGGATATTAATGTAATATATTTACAAGTATCTAAAATGGGAATTAAATGTGAGGTAGTTTTTACAGATCTTTTTGTCTTTTTAAGGAAAAACATTTTTTCCTTCAATTATATTCTTCCTTTAATTTATGACATTCTATACCAGCAAAGGATATTGAGGAAAGCCTGGAATAGAGAGCTATTTCTGGAACTGGAGAAGTAGAATATAATATCTTTAGCTGTAATGTCTGTTTGGTTTTGGGTTTAGGTTGTGTTGAGGTTTTTTGCAGAGTGGAAACACTTAGTAAGATATTGTCCCTTTCCCAGAGAGCTTGTAACTTGGCAAAAATAACCTGATAATGTGTAAAGTTGTGCATGTAAAAAGTATCAACACAATCAGTGAAAAATCTTGGCACAATTACAGAAAGTAAATATGTCATTTTTTCAAAATTATACTCTTCACATAGCAGATATTGTACTTGCTTAAAACAGTTCTTCACCAGATTTTATCAAATTAGTACGAAAACTGAGAACTAACTCGGAGTATTCCTTACAATATTTTTACAAAATTACAGTCCACCGTGTCAGCAATTAATAACAAAATATGGATCCAATACGAATGTTTTGTGCATCTTAGAGAATACAAGCTTCTTGATTGTTGACAATATACTGTCTTGATTGATGATTTGTATTGATTCTTAAATTTGCCTGGTCAACCTTTCGATTTAGGAATCAAAGAGAAATCAAATCAAAGGAAATTCTCAGGTGCTGCGGGTGTCTGACTGTTCTAGTATACAAATGTCATTCCATTCATACTGAACCAATATTTCACTTAGTGCTAGAAAATATTGTACAGGTAAAAAGGTGGGGGTTTTTTGTTATGAGAGATCAAATCAAGATCTTAAAACCCATCTTTATGAAATACCTTCTAGAACTGCATTCAGAAGAACTGCTATTTGTCTCAGTGTGATTCTGTAATATTGCTTGAAATGACTGCTGCACTGTTATTATGAAGTGGCTGGATTTAACTGCCTAGCAATTATTCCTGACCAGAGGAAAAAAGTATTTCAGAATTTTGTGAAACACTTTAAAAAAATCTATATTGTTAGGAATGTCAGAGATAACTGCTGACCACCCAGAAGTTCAAGTGATGGTAGAAGAAGCCATAAAAAGAACATCAGTCTCTGAAGTTACACTGTCGCCTGAAATATATGCTGAAGTACTGGAGAGAGCTATTGCAGAGGTAAAACACCAAGTACTATATAGCAAAGCACTTTTTTTTCTAAGAGCAACCTGTAACAGTTTATATATTATTGATATATGTTCTTAATTTTTCCATTTGCAAGATCAGTTTAGTTTATATCAGTCTGAAAGCTTACATAGGATTGAGGAGAGACTGAGCAAGATCATGAAAGACAAATCTACTGAGGGCTACTATATGTATACAAAATATTTCTATCTTGCAGAGTACCTGCACTACAATTTGATAAAGGCTGGGAGAATTATCTAAGTACCACTGTTTACTTGCCCTATTCTTATACTCTTAGTTACTATTAAAGAGCTCAGCACCAGAAACAAGTGTTTGAAAAGAATTGCATATGCAGCTTTATCCAAGAATCTTGAATTGGTTTAAGTTTACTGATTTGTAACTATTGAAACTGAAATCTAAATTCTTTATAGGCAGCCTTATAAATCACAGGCACATTATTTTTGTTTAAAACAGTTTTATTTCATTTGGACATATACATTTACTTTTTATTGACTTGAAATGACAATACAGAAAAATCATAACGTTTAAAAAATCATGTGGTATGATGCAGTCTTTTTGAACAGCTAGCAGACTATCTTAGTCTTTTTATGTTACTGAATCTGTCATTTTATAACAGCTCACGAAGAAGAACAAAGATAGGTTTCCAGGTGCTCCAGAAAAAGGAGGATGGGTAGTGGATAACTACCCTCTGTCAGTAAACCACTGGTCAGCTTTATCAGAAAAAGGACTTTTACCTGACACTGTTGTCTGTCTGAAGGATACAGAAAAAGATGGTTAGTAAATGCACACTAGTGAAACAATATTTTGATTTTTTCTGTGTTGATATCTGTATATAGAGCACACATAAGAAAAACTAGTAGTTATTTCCCATTTATAAAGTTTCAGGGTCTAGAGAAGGAAGAATCCAGTGAATCAACAAGGGTACCCTAAAATTCTTATAATTTGGATTAAGGGAATTACACAGAATTTAAAACAGGAATGCTTTACAAAAGCAGTAAAGAAAATTCCTCCTATCTATAATCCTATTTACAATCAGCAGCAAATACCACTGGACTCTTGCAGTTTCAGGCTTTTGTATTCTGTGTCTGGCTGGCCACCAGCTTGCGATGTGGCTCTCAGCCAAATTTCCCTTCTTGCACATTGGTTTCCCCACTTGCAGATATGAATATAGATATGAACTTTCTCTGCTTTAGAGAAATACTTGTATGCAGGTGTATCCTGTTCCTGTTCCCCATCCTGGGGTCAAAAAACATTAAGCAATTTCTTACCCAGATTGATACAATAGCTTAGTGCCCATGAATTCAGAGGAAGGGATTTTTACTTTATTGTTTCAAACAGGAGGGAAGGTTGGTACCAGGCATGAAAAACTGAGTAGGATCATACACTATTAAAAGTTTTGCTTGCCAAATTATGTTGTAATGGTTTATGCCTGCTTGATTCATACCACACCACAAGTTTCACTGCCCTGTGGCAATGTTTGATCATTACCTGTTCAATCCAGTCCGTTATTGAAAGGCCTTTTAGTAGTAGAAACTTGCTTTCAAGAAAGAAATGATACATCTAATCATACTTAGTTCAAGAAAGCACAGTAACTGCCCAATATTAGAGTCAGTCCAGAGAGCTTTTCAAACCCTTGTCCCTGAATATAAAAATCAACCTAAGCAAATCCTGAGTTTATTTCAATTTATTCAGTTTATTCAGTTTTCTTATTAAAAAAAAAAAATAAAAAGCTTTTACTCAGCTGTAGTAGCTAAACTACTTGGTCATACAGCTTTGTGAAATTTTGTAACACCTTAAACATCTCTAACTAAAAGTCTTCCAGTGTGGCTGGAGCTCATATACAGACTAAATAGACACTGAATATTTCTGAGAAAGATCTACATCCAGTGTTTGTCTGAAAATTGTATTTGCTGTTCCTATCATTCAAGAAGACCTCATCATCTCAGATACTTCCAGAAAGCCCTTAAGGACAAATTGCATTTCCATGCCTCATCTTTGCTTCCCAGACATTTCAAACATATTGAAATGTTCATGAAGCTATTTTCTTGGACACAGTGCATTGTCCTTTCTTACAATGACAAAAAGCACCTTCCTCATGTAATTGGCATGCAGTATTGTAAAGTTAATACTGTGTACTAAATTACAGACATCAGGAGTCAAGCTCTAGCTTTTTCTGCAGCGAGAGAACTGAGGTGGGAGAGATGCTTTTAGAATTCGGTTAACTTTCTCTTCTCAGAATTTAACAAGTTACTGAATTAATTGGATAAAAGAATAGGTTGTCTCATCATCCCTGAAAGGCTTTTTTCTAGATCAAACACTTTGAGAATAGATAATTCTTCATGGGAACCATGTTGAAAACTGGTCAGTAGTAACTGCCCCATTTTTTTTCTTTCAGGAAGGGAAGAACTTGGAGTTCATAGCAGAGGCTTTCCAATTATGTGCTTCCTTCCTGCAGTCCTTTCTGCCATTTCCACTAGTTCTCAAAACCCAGCTCTCAATTATTTTTTCTAATCTGAACAACCTATTTTACACTCTTGGTAGCCATCTCTTCCACGCAAGCACCTTCTGTTTCTCAAGTCTGATAGATGGCAGATTCTTTAAAGCATCAGTGTAAGCCTTTCCTAGAAGTTAGAGAGGTCCTTCATGAAACTTAAATTTTGTGCTCACAACCCTAAGAGTACCTCTGTTTGAACTACCAGTGTTATAGTCTTTATATCACATAGCAAAAAAGACCTTTTTTTTTTTTATTACAACCCATTTGACCCTATGTATAAATAGATTTCAGGCTTGGAAGGAAATCCATCATTCCCATTTTTAATGTATTTGAGATGATAAGGAGCCTATAGCCTAATTTTATCCCTGAAGCTGTATCAGGCTTTCATATGAATCAATGACAACATATTTTTCTTCAAAGTTTCATTCACTAGTGGGAGGAAATGAATTAATATACAATAAATAATAAAGCATATTTTTATTGTCTTGGCTTGAAACAAGTCATGTGCTAATTGAGTACAAGTCATACTATTTGTAGCCTACCATAACAAATTGAATGGGAATATAATACTGGCATAGAGATTTTCTTAACTGACTGGTTGAAAGAACTGACATTGTTCTTTCAACCAGAATCAGCTGCACAACCTACAAACCTGCTCCATTCGCAAGCTGCTTTCTGGTTAATACCAGTAGCAGATATTCTCAGCCCAGGCATTTAGGACTTTGCTAATTTATTATCTATTATTCTAAAGGCTTATAGGTCCCTGCTCAATTTGATCAAGTAATGCTGAAATCCTTCATCAGGTGAAACAATACTGAATCCTTTGAGTGAGAAACACATATGCTGGTACCCAAGGAAGAATTAATTGTTTGTATAGTACAGGAATTGTGATTCTTCTGGATTTCTGTATATGATAATTCTGTAATTAAAGCTGCTTTGCTTCAGTTCAGTGTCATTTAGACTCTGAATAATTAAGTAAATTAATGCTTTTTGGTATTGCTGCTTTTCATAATAGAGTGAAAAAAACACAAAGGTGCGAAAGTGCATGCCTGGGCCACCAGGCAAAGCCACTGCAAACTCTCACAACTTTTTTGAGGAAGAATACCAAGACAGAATTATCTAAAGATGAGTTTACAAACCACATTTTTTAATAATTCCCTTCACTCACCATCCCTTTTTTAAAAATACATTTAATTGAAAGCATTGGTTTAAAATATAAACCGTTCACACAAAATTATAACCTGCTTCAAATCAACATCAATGTTCCTACAGTTGACATGTTTGTCACAACTCAAATTTAGATAAAAATACATTTTATGTTAGTTGGTGATAGTGATCACATGAGACATAGAAGGAACAAGTATGAGTAAAGAGAGGTGAAAGAGACAAGATCATAATGTCTGCTCTGTGGTTTGGATGATAGAGTAGCTTTTTACTTATGGATATGATTCCTTGAATTTATTGTGCTTTTTCCCCCATTTTGTTCTTTATATTTTTTCATTTGTGCAATTGCTTTAACTTTTTATTTGATTCCCACTAATTTCTGTCACTTAAATAATAATGTAGTTGAGTTTATAGTTTCACAGTGTTTTGAGTCATTACTTTGTAAGCTATTCCCTGAACTAGTCTAAACTGGCATAACTCCACTGATGGAAACGGATTTCAGCCACACAGCCATATATCATAAAGCTATTTGCTAAAATAAGTCAGTCAGTAGTGTTCCTAGTAGGAACGGCATATTGTTAATTTGTGTCAACCAGATGTAATAGTGTCGGTAATTTTAATGTTTTACATTTATTTCATTTTCTTCATACACATACACACAAAACAAATGCCAGAGTAATGCATGCTATACGAAAATATAAGATAAATCCTTTCAGTGCTGTCTCCCTTTATAGCCTTCATCATAACCTTCCCATATCCCATGCTCAGTTTATTAGGTGCTTGAAATTGAAAACAAAGCTCTAAAACCTTAGAAAGCCACAGTATAATAACATTTCAATGGTATATATGCCTTTTCTTGGCTTTAAAAAGAGGTAGGAAAGTTGTCTACCATTTATTAAATAATTTTCTTAACTCAAGCAGCCTTAGATTTGTACAGATGCATAAAACTCATTAGTGTTGTGTAATTGTACTGCAGGAGCCTGTATACTACGCAGAACATACTTAGCAAATCGGGATGCAATTAATTCTAAGATTTTGCAAAGACTAACAGATGAAGCATTACAAAAGAAAGAAGAAGTAAGGTAAAACATTCCAAATATCTGAATGTATAAAGTGAGCACAAGAAAATTCTAGCCCTACTTTGCGTTAAAGGTATCAGTGCACTTATCAACACAAATGTACTAAATATTAAGAGTAGTTGTGATGTATAGGAAATAATCCAATATGTGTTAACTTTGAGGAATAGCTCGTTTAGACCAGTACATATAGCGGCAGGAGATTCTCTTGCCAAATGCATTTTTATTAGCCTTTCTTTAGTCCAGTCTTTTGATGCAATGAGACAATAACATTTTAGATTATAAAATATATTTGATTTTTATTCTGTACAACCCAGATTCTATTTCAACTCCCCAACAGTATATTTTCACATCTTTACATTTAATATATCTGCATCTTGCTTCAGTAGTATTTATCTAAGTCTTAAACGAATAATCTTTTACTTACAGAAGAGAAATGCAAGAAATACTGCCATCAGAGGAAGATGAATCTCTACAGGCTGCTGAGGAGAAAGGTGTATATCATTTGACTTCTATTTTATCTAATTATGTGTTTCAAATACTTTAGCAATTTGTTTTTTATTCAGATTTTACAGTTTTGATTTCCTGTTTACATTCAGCATCTAGAAAAATGACTTTATATTACTATCTTTGCTTCCTCTACTGATTCAGGCACTCATTTCTATGTGTCGTTCTTAATGGACTTTACAGAATAGAGACGTGCGTTACATCAGCCAGCACAGTTACAGTTTTCAATAAATCTGAAGGACAGAACTCTCTATCTCCTTTAGTAACTTTTCTAAGTGCGCTATTATCTGTATTGAAACTTTCTACTCAACAAAAAATCTGTATCCCCTCACAAGTTAGAAAACGTTGTTAGAACAGCCAATAGCTAATAAGAAAATTGCAAAACTGTCTGGTTTTCTGTTCTTCCTCCTAGAAGCTCAGCCTGAAGCAATTAAAGGGGAATGGAAATACTTTCAGTAGTGGTTCTCTTAATATGCATGAAGAATTCCTGAATCTAGTAGCAACATACATTATGAATTGCTGAATCCAGTAACCCAGTAGGGGTGAGGCTGCTGCAGTTCCATGTCCCCAGGACCGTGCAGTAATGAGTCTGAGCCTGTACTCCCATTTCCCCTTTCATCCTCTTCTTACTCTATTATCCATGCTTGTTACTCCCCAATCCACTTTGATCTCTCCTCCTCCTTGCCTTTGGTCCTTTTCAGAAATGCCTCATAATATTATAAGTCACTCACAATCCCAAACTGATTTTCCTGGCATCCCCTAATGAATCTTATACCCTGTAGGCAGTAATCCCCCTCAGCCAGGGAGAGCCTCTCTGGTTGACTCATCTCAATAGATCTCACACCCAGACAATACCCTCATCATCCTCTTTTAATGACCCTGAGGGGAGTCAAATCAAGGTTATGTTTGTTCTGATTAGGTTATTGGGTTTGTTCCTCCCCTCCTTTGTGCTTATGGAGATTAGCCTTTAATAACATAACCTTACAACATAAAAAATAACAGGATTATGTGTATTACATGAGGTTTCCCCTCTAATACTTTACTTCCTGTAAAGAACCTACTTTTATATCAGAATTGTGCTATACTTTGTTTCTAGCAGTGAAAATATAATTGCCTTGGGCAGGAGTGAATAATCTGTGAGAAGTGAGATTTTTGGGGCAGGTCAACTGTCACAAATAGGCTGGATTTTTGCACTTCAGACAATACTGTCAGTTAGGTCAAAATTTAGAATTAATTCCAGTTATTTTCAATGTTTTTGAACCTCAACAGTCAAAAAAGTTGCAGGCTTGTACTTTCCTTTTTGCCTTCCTTCATCTGCCTACTTTCTTAGAAGAATGTTGCTGTCTGATTTGTATCAGCTGTCAAGATGAAGTACCATGCATGAGCATCTGTATCTACATTAAGAACTAGGTTAGGCACTTTAGAGTATTTTCTTCCTCTGCTATGGGATCTCAAGGTTTCTCCATCGTAGCCTAAATTATCACCTAAGGCCTGAAGCTGAAATTAAAAAGCACACAAGTTCCCACTTTTTTTTTTTTTTTTTTTTTTTTTTCAGCATTGGTGGCCTAGACTGCCATTCCTGTCTTCCTTTCAAATAAAACATACTGGTTTCTGTAGAAAATTATTATGGCCAAGCTTAAGTTCTGTATTGTCAATATGTGTCACATCCACTTTCTTTCATTATCCAGACTGGCATTTATTTTACCTATATATAACTAGGCCTAAGCTGTAAATGTAGTATAAGATTGACTGAATATGATAACATGCGTTTATTTTTTAATTAGGTAATGTTTCACCTACTCTCTGAAAAAATATACTCTAGCTTTGTAGGGTTCTTTAAATTACACATAAACTTTTTAAAAATTCAACATTATAACTTTTTATAGTTTCTAATAAACACATCTCCACAGTGAATAAGTTCTAAAATATTAAATATAAAGGGTTCTATGCAGATACTCTGTTATCTCTGTCTCAACAAAGTTCATCTTAGGTTTGAATATCTAACTCATTTTGATCTGAGTACATCAAAACAACAATTATTAATGATAGAAGTAATAATGTGATATACACACTTGTGCTCTTAACACGTGATAAGTCCTTGTTCAGAGAAAATCATGTTTTCCTACGCCTACATTTGATTTCAATAATCAAATACTGACTCACCAAAACACTTCAGTCATGCTGCTCTTAGCCTGACATCTGTTTTATTTCACATGTAGTGCCATCAGCACATTGACTGCAGCCTTTCTCCCACGTGACATGTCTTTACAAAAATATAAATGAGTGATATGTTCACAGTTTTGGGAGTTTTATATATAGCAGTTATAGTATAAAAATGAAAACTCAGAAAAATACTCCAGAACCCAAATCATGCTCTTTTGATGTCTCATATAGGAATGGTTCAAAGCTGCACCAGGAAAGGTTTAGGTTGGACATTAGGAAGCTTTTTTTTACCAACAGGGTGATCAAACACTGGAACAGGCTCCTTGGAGAGGTGGTCGATGCCCCAAGCCTGTCAGTGTTTAAGAGGCATTTGGACAATGCCCTTGACAAAATGCTTTAACTTGGCCAGCCCTGAAGTGGTCATGCCATCGGACTAGGTGATCATTGTAGCTCCCTTCCAACGGAACTATTCTATTCTATTCTATTCTATTCTATTCTATTCTATTCTATTCTATTCTATTCTATTCTATTCTATTCTATTCTATTCTATTCTATTCTATTCTATTCTATTCTATTCTATTCTATTCTATTCTATTCCATTCCATTCCATTCCATTCCATTCCATTCCATTCCATACAAATAAATGTGCATTTCAGTAAGTGCAATTTTTGTAACCTCAGTGGGACACTGAAGTAACTGGAATTGCTTCAGGACTGAACATATTCAAATTTATAATATCTATTATTTAAAAGGAAAAAAATGTTCCAGTAATGAGCAAGGTACTTACACGTGTCTTAATGAGAATGAAAGTAAATGCAGAAGTAGACTTTGGGTAAATTTAACAAATGTATTTAAGTCAGTTAAGAAGCTAAGTTCAACACTGAAAATGTCTGTTGAAGGTACACAAAACAATTTATGTAGTAACTCCTGCTTGTAGTGTCTAGCTGAAAATTATAGCTCCACATCTTTGTTCATGTCCTTTGACTCAAATATTCTGAGTTTAAATTATTTTCAGGAATTTCTTACTGTATTTAGGCATTTTTGCAGAAGCTTTGCATGAGTATGGATCTATTTATACTAGGAGACAGCTATATGACTTCATGAGAATATATTTCAGGCATTGTAGAAGAGTTCTACAGCTTCAGGTAGATCTGTGGGTTCAAGCAAACTTTGTGAAGTAAAACTTGGCATATTTCTTTCCTGCCACGTTTCAGCAATAAAATATCTCATATAATTGTTCTTATCCACTGAAGCAAAACAGTTGTCATGGTTTAAGACTTTATTTTCTGTACTTTATTTTTCAGCCCTACTTTTCTGTCAGAGATTACCCCCTTCCTGTAGCAAACTCAATAGAAGTACATGTATGCCTATGCCTCAGTTGCTCAGGGTGTTATGTTAGTTCAACCCCATCTTCACTGATGTCTCTTCTGCTACTTTTGCTATTTGGGCAGAAGCTCTTGCAAGAAATAAATGAGTAGCTAGAGCTGATAATTTCAGCCATTGTCTCCTGTGCTTGTCCTTCACAGCTGGTACTATCAATATTTGTTATAAACTCAATATTGATCCCAAACCCTCCCTTTTTCATATTACAGATGTTGGAGGGTTGAATCAATACCCATCTCTTTAGCTTTTATTCATGTTCTTGCTTTATTTTTTTATCATTGTGTTAAATTCAGTAAGATATTTTAAACAAAACCAAAAAGTAAATATAACAATAATTAAACCTGTACATGTTAGCACATTTCCTCTTTAGTCTTTGAGGAGAAATGCTTTTTGGAATCAATTGTAATTATAGCATTTACCAGGCAGTTGATGTGTGCTCAGACCTACAGCTTCTGAATATATTTCCTTCCTTTTTCTTGGCTGCCTTGCATCCTGATTTGCTTTTTTTCCTCCTAACACTAACTGGAGGCTTTTCTGTGAGAGAGTTTGAACAAGGAGAGTTTCTTAATTTCCAGACAAGGGATAGAAAATTACTTATACCACAAACTTCAAAGCGAACTGTAGTGATATTAACTTTGTTCAGTCTTTGAGCAAAGTTGCATGATCTTCAAAGCCACTTTCTGCCCTCCTTCATAAGCCGAATACGATAATTACATTCTAATACCTGTAATCACAGCATTTTAGGCAGAGAAATTTCAAAATCCTACTATTGCCTCTACTTCCTAAATACCAAATTAATAAAACAGGGGTCTATGGAAATAACAAATAGAGTGAGCATTGCTGAAATTAGAGATTGACATAATTTCTTGTATTCAGAAATCTTTCAGCACTCTCTACAGGATGAAGTGATAAGGGAGGGAAATCAGCTGCAAAAAACCTAGAACATCACTCATGGATTGTGACCCCCCCAAAAAAAGAAAAAGTAAAAAGAACTAAAACCCAGGAAAAACCCGGTTTTACAGACCATTTTAAAATTAGTATTATATCCACATTAATCAGAAATTACTATCCATTCCTTGTGCCAAGAGATCTTGGGGAAAATGGGAATGGATTAATTTTAACTTTGAATGAGAATGATCAAAATGTGTTCTGTATTTCCCTTAATCATCCATTGTCCTGCTAACAGCTTGCTAGATTTTGCACAGAGTCATGTTCTCTTCTTTTAGTATAAGGTAAACTTCTGCAACAATGGAACTTCACAAAGTCAGAAGCTAATGATATGTGAAATCCTATAGTGACCTTCTCTCAAAAACACTTTGAAGGCAACTCATCTTTAATGGAGGCAGACTGCTTTAGTTTTTAAAATACACATTTTAGCTTTTATCTACTAGAATTTTTAGAATATGTTAAAGTCCAAAAGAGAAATAAATCCAGCATAAAA